TAACACCTACCTAACACAATAACACCTACCTAACACAATAACACCTACCTAACACAATAACACCTACCTAATACAAAACCCTACCTTACACAATAACACCTCCATAACACAATAACACCTACCTTACACAATAACACCTACCTAACACAATAACACCTACCTAACACAATAACACCTACCTAACACAATAACACCTACCTAACACAATAACACCTACCTAACACAAAACCCTACCTAACACAAAAACACCTACCTAACACAATAACACCTACCTAACCCCAAAAACAACCTACCTAATACAATAACACCTACCTAACACAATAACGCCTACCTAACACAATAACACCTACCTAATACAATAACACCTCCTAACACCCAAAAACACCTACCTAATACAATAACACCTACCTTACACAATAACACCTCCATAACACAATAACACCTACCTTACACAAAAACACCTACCTAACACAATAACACCTCCATAATACAATAACACCTCCATAACACAAAAACACCTCCATAACACAATAACACCTACCTTACACAATAACACCTCCTAACACAATAACACCTACCTTACACAAAAAACACCTCCATAACAAAAATAACACCTACCTAAAAACAATAACACCTACCTAATACAATAACACCTACCTAAAACAATAACACCTACCAACACAATAACACCCACCTAACACAATAACACCTACCTAACACAAATAACACCTACCTTACACAATAACACCTACCCAACACAATAACACCTACCTAACACAATAACACCTACCTAACACAATAACACCTACCTTACACAATAACACCCCACCTTTCACAATAACACCTACCTTTCACAATAACACCTACCTACACAATAACACCCACCTAACACAATAACACCTACCTTACACATTTAAAACCTCCCTAACACAATAACACCTACCTACCACAATAACACCTACCTAACACAATAACACATACCTAACACAATAACACCTCCTAACACAATAACACCTACATAACACAATAACACCTAACACAATAACCCCTACCTAACACAATAACACCTCCATAGTCGGACCGAAACGTCGTCGTAAGCTTCTCTCTTTTATGTGCGGGTTATTTGTGTATAATAACACCTACATAACAGAATAACACCTACCTAACACAATAATACCTCCCTAACACAATAACACCTTCCTAACAATAACACCTACCTTACACAATAACACCTCCCTAACACAATAATAACACCTCCCTAACACAATAACACCTACCATACACAATAAGACCTCCCTAACACAATAACACCTCCCTAACACAATAACACCTACCTAACACAATAACACTCCCTAACACAAACAACCCTACCTAACACAAAAACCACCTACCCTTTCACAATAACACCTCCCTAACACAATAACACCTACCAACCACAATAACACCTACCTTATACAATAACACCTACCTAAGACAATAACACCCACCTTTCACAATAACACCTCCCTAACACAATAAAAACCTACCTAACACAACAACCCTACCTAACACAAAAACACCTACCTAACACAATAACACCTCCCTAACACAATAACACCTACCTAACACAATAACACGTACCTAACAAATAACACCCCCAAACACAATAACACCTACCTAACACAATAACACCTACCTAACACAATTACACCTCCCCACACAATAACACCACCTAACACAACAACACCTACCTAACCAATAACACCCCCTAACACAATAACCTACCTAACACAATAAAAACCTATCTAACACAGTAACACCTCCTAACACAATTTAAAACCTAAACCCAACACAATAACACCACCTTACACAATAACACCTCCCTAACACAAAAACGCCTCCCTAACACAACAACACCTACCTTTCACAATAACCACCTCCTAACACAATAACACCTCCCTAACACAATAACACCCACCTTACACAATAACACCTACCTTACATAAAAAACACCTCCTAACACATAACACCTACCTAACACAATAACACCTACCTAACACAATAACACCTACCTTACACAATAACACCTACCTTACACAATAACACCTACCTTACACAATAACACCTACCTAACAATAACACCCACCTAACACAATAACACCCACCTTACACAATAACAACTCCCTAACACAATAACACCTACCTACCCCAATAACACCTACTAACACAATAACACCTACCTAAACACAATAACACCTCCATAGTCGACCGAAAAGTCGTCGTAACTCTCCTTTATTGCGGGTTATTGTGTATAAAACCCCCTACATAACAGAAAAAACACCTACCCAACCAATAATACCTCCCTAACCCCAATAACACCTTCCTAACCCAAAAACACCTAAACCCTTTCACAATAACACCTCCCTAACACAATAATAACACCTCCCCAACACAATAACACCTACCATACACAATAAACCTCCCTAACACAATAACACCTCCTAACACAATAACACCCACCTAACACAAATAACACCTCCCTAACACAACAACACCCACCTAACACAATAACACCTACCCTTTCACAATAACACTTTCCCCAACACAATAAAAACCTACCTAACACAATAACACCTACCTTATACAATAACACTACCTAAGGGCAAAACACCCTACCTTACACAATAACACCTCCCTAACACAATAACACCTACCTAACACAACAACACCTACCTAACACAATAACACCTACCTAACACAATAAACACCTCCTAACACAATAACACCTTACCTAACACAATAACACCTACCTAACACAATGACACCCCCTAACACAATAACACCTACCTAAAACAATAACACCTACCTAACACAATAAACCTCCCTAACACAATAACACCTACCTAACACAACAAGACCTACCTAACACAATAACAAACCCCCTAACACAATAACTCTACCTAACACAATAACACCTATCTAACACAGTAACACCTCCCTAACACAATAACACCTACCTAACACAATAACACCTACCTTACACAATAACACCTCCCTAACACAATAACGCCTCCTAACACAAACAACACCTACCTTACAAATAACACCTCCTAAAAACAATAAACCTCCCTAACCAAAACACCTACCTAACACAATAACACCTCCTAACACAATAACACTACCTACACAATAACACCTACCTTACACAATAACACCTACCTTACACAATAACACCTACCTTACACAATAAACCTACCTAACACAATAACACCCACCCAACACAATAACATCTACCTTACACAATAACACCCAACCCTAAAAACAATAACACCTACCAACCACAATAACACCTACCTAACACAATAACACCTACCTAACACAATAACACTACCTAACACAATAACACCTAACACAATAACACTCCCTGACAGTAACACCTCCCTAACACAATAACACACCTAACACAATAACACCTCCCCAACACAATAACCCTACCTAACACAATAACACCTCCATAAATCGGAAACCCAAAAAATCGTCGTAAGCTTACTCTTTTATGTGCGGTTATTTGTGATAATAACACCTACATAACAGAATAACACCTACCTAACACAATAATACCTCCCTAACACAATAACACCTTCCTAACAGTAACACCTACCTTACACAATAACACCTCCTAACACAATAATAACACCTCCCTAACACAATAACACCTACCATACACAATAAGACCTCCCTAACACAAAAAACACCTCCCTAACACAATAACACCTACCTAACACAATAAACAGCTACCTTACACAAATAACACCTCCCTAACACAATAATACCTACCCCAACACAATAACACCTACCTTATACAAAACACCTACCTAACATAACACCTACCTTACAAAAATAACACCTCCCTAACACAATAACACCTACCTAACACAACAAACTAACACAATAACACCTAAACCTAACACAATAACACCTCCCTAAAAACAATAACACCTACCTAACACAATAACACCTACCTAACACAATACACCCCCTAACACAATAAAACCTACCTAACACAATAACACCTACCTAACACAATAACAACCCCCCCTAACACAATAACACCTACCTAACACAAACCCCCTACCTAACACAATAACACCCCCTAACACAATAACATCTACCCTAACACAATAACACCTATCTAACACAGTAACACCTCCCTAACACAATAACACCTCCCTAACACAATAACGCCTCCCCAACCAACAAAACACCTCTTACACAATAACACCTCCCTAACACAATAACACCTCCCCTAACACAATAACACCTCCCTAACACAATAACGCCTCCCCAACAAAACCACCTACCTTTCACAATAACACCTACCTTACACATAACACCTACTTTACACAATAACACCTACCTTACACAATAACACATGCCTTCACAATTAACACCTTTCCCTAACACAATAACACCTACCTTACACAATAACACCCCCCTATACAATAAACACCTTCCTAACCAATAACACCTACTTACACAATAGCACCTACCCAACACAATAACACCTCCCTAACACTAACGCTACCTAAAAAAAATAACCTCCTAAAAACAATAACACCTACCAGCACAATAACACCTACCTAACACAATAATACCCTCCCTAACCAATAACCCCCTACCTAACAGAATAACACTCTCTAAAAATAACACCTACCTTTAAAACGATAACACCTACCCTAACAATATACCTCCCTAACACAATAACACCTACCTAACAACAATACACCTCTCTAAAACAATAACACCTCCCTAACACAATAACACCTACCCACACAATTAAACCTAACACAATAAAACCTCCCTAAAACTAACACCTACCTTTAAAACAATACCTACCTAAAATATACTCCCTAACACAATAACACCTACCTAACACAATAACACCTCCCTAACACAATAACACCTGCTACTCACATTAGTATCACCTTCACTTGTTACACAAAATGACACATAATACTCACACTAGAATGGAAAGAGTGAGTTAGGAGCACTAACTGTGCTCTTGTTGTCTCTCAACTGGTGTATCTCTGAGCAGAAGTCAAGTTATCTTATCAGGTTGTGTACTTACTTAACTGTATTTACCTAAATGTGATTTTAGGGGTCGATTCTCAGTTCCTGGACCCGCCTCTCTGCTGGCTGCTGCTGGTTTCGCTCTCACCCGGCGACGTGAACTTTATAATACCCATTCTTAATGCCATGTATGGATTCTGCATCCATCACTTTGCTGACTAGGTCGTTCCAATTCCTGATCACTCTAAGCTAAAGAAGTATTTCCTAACATGCCTATGGCTCATCTGTAACCTCGTGCACCTGTCATCCGCCTCTCAAACATTCTTCCTGTTCGCCCTGTTAGTTACTCTCAGCATTTTCTACGTTTTACTCATGCTACTTTGGTCCGTCTGTCCTCTAGTATCGTCATGTTTAAATCCTCTAGCTTCACCTTATAGTTCAAACCACTCAGCTCTGAGACTTGTTTTGCTACAAACCTGTGTATTTTTCTCAGCTTCTTCATATGCTTTACCGGATGCGGGTTCACTGTTGCTGTGTACTCCAAGATGGGCCTGACATATGCCGTGTTTAAGATTGTGAATGCTTTCTTGCTGATGTTTCTGACAGCTAGCCGTAAATTTTGCCAGTTTCGCTTTTTCTGCAGCAGTTGTTCGCTGACTGTGTGCCTCAGGTGAAATGCTTAGAACTATGCTCACCCCGAGGTCCTTCTCTACTTGGAAGATTTGCAGCCTTTGTTCCTCGAGTCTGTATGTTGTTTCCTAACGTCTGTTCCCCTCCGATTTTCATAACTTTGCATTTGCTGGGGTTAAATTCTAAAAGCCAATTGTCAGACTAATCATGCAACTTGTCCAGATCCATTTGTAGTCTTTCTTGGTCAACTCCTGTTGATATTCTGCTAATTAGTTTCAAATCGTCTGCAAACAGACACACCTCTGATTCAACGTCCTCTGCCATATCGTTCATATATACATGAAATGATACTAGAACAAGTACTGAACCTTATAGAACCCCCACTTGCCCATTCCGACACTTCCTCCCTGACATTAACTCCTTGTTTTCTTCTCGTTAAGTAACCGTTGATCCACTGTAGTGCTTTTCATGTGAGTCCTGCTGCTCCTCTAGCCTTAGTGCCAGTTTATTTGAGGGTACTGTATTGAATGCTTTCTAGAAATTCAAAAATATACAGTCCACTCATTCCTTTCTCTTCTGCTTAACTTACGTTACCTAATCACATAACTCTGGCAGATTTGTGAGACGGGATTCACCATCTTGAAAACCGTGCTCATTGTTGTTGATGACTTCCCTCAACCTTCACCATAACCTAACATACCATGCTAGTTTGTGACACAGGCCTGTAGTTCATTGTCAACTGTGTGTTCCTTTTTTGGAACATTTGAACTATATTATTTATTTTTCAGACCTCTGGTAGTTGTCCTGTTTCAATCAATTTGTTTAAGATCGATGCTAGTTGTTTACACAGTTCTTTTGCTCTCTCTTGCAGAACACAAGATAGATTTTGTCTGAACCCATCGCCTTTGCGGTATCTTGTTCAATCAGTATTTTCTTCACCTCTCCTCCTGTTGTCTGTGTTGTGTTCAATACTTGTTAGTGCACTTTCTCTTTCTTTGACTTTCTGGCAGGGTTCCTGATTCCACTGAGAATACCTCACGATTTTTGGTCAGTTCCTCATATTTTCTGGCCATTCCCAGTGAGCTCTCTTCTTTCCTTATTACTTTGTCCTTCACATTTGTCTGCACATGAACTGTGGCTCAGATGCTATGGCATTCTCAAGTTGCCGTTCAGCCTCTCTTCTTACTTACACATATTCATTTCTGGCTCTTTTGTTTGCTTCCCTATTCTCTGGTGTTCTTTGTTTCCTATGTCTTCCATTTCCTCTCACTTTTAGCTTTTGCCTTCCTGAATCAGTACTCGCCTAGTTGTACTCACCTATGTGTGGTTACAGGGGTCAATTCACAGCTCCTGGCCCCGCCTCTTCACTGGCCGCTACTAGGTCACTCTTCCTGCTCCATGAACTTTATCATACCTCTTCTTAAAGCTATGTATGGATCCTGCCTCTACCACATCACTTCCCAGACAGTTCCACTTCTTGGCAACTCTATGACTTCCTAACATCCCTGTGAATCATCTGAGTCTTCAACTTCCTACTGTGACCCCATGTTGCTGTGTCCTATCTCTGGAACATCCTGTCTCTGTCCACCTTGTCGATCCCTCTCAGTGTTTTATATGTCGTTATCATATCCCCCCTGTCTCTCCTGTCCTCCAGTGTCGTCAGGTCGATTTCCTTTAACCTCTCTTCGTAGGACATGCCCCTCAGCTCCGGGACTAGTCTCACTGCAAACCTTGCACTTTCTCTAATTTCTTGACGTGTTTGGCCAGGTGTGCGTTCTAAGCTCTTTCTGCATACTCCGATATGGGCCTGATGTACACGGTGTACAGAGTCCTGAACGACTCCTTCCTGAGATGTCGGAATGCTATTATTAGGTTTGCTAGTCGCCAGTTTGCTGCAGCAGTTAAATGATTGACGTGCACCTCAGATATGTTTGGTGTTATACTCACCCCAAGATCCTTTCCCTTGAGTGAGGTTTGTAGTCTTTGGCCCCCCTAGACTGAATTCTGTCTGCGGTCTTCTTTGCTCTTCCCCGATCTTCATGAGTTTGCACTTGGCGGGGTTGAACTCTAGGAGCCATTTGCTGGACCAGGCATGTAGCCTGTCCTTTGTAGTCCTGCCTGGTCCTCCTCCTATTGAATTCTCCTCATTAACTTGACATCGTCTGCAGACAGGGACACTTCTGATTCTATTCCTTCCGTTATGTCATTCACTTATTTCAGAAACAACACCGGCCCTAGGACTGACCTCTGTGGAACCCCGCTCGTCACAGACGCCCACTCTGACACCTAGTCACGAACCATGACTCATTATTGCCTCCCTGTCATGTACTTTCTGATCCATTGCAGTGCCTTCCTTGTTATACCTGCCTGGTCCTCGAGCTTGTGTGGAACTATGTCAGAAGCCTTCTTACAGCCCAAGAAAATGCAATCAACCCACCCCTCTCTTTCTCTTGTCTTACTGCTGTCACCTTGTCATAGAACTCCAGTAGGTCTGTGACACAGAATTTCCCGTCCCTGAATCTGTGCTAGTTTCAGTTGGTAATCTCATTCCTTTCTAGGTGCTCTACCTCTCTTCTCCTGGTAATCGTCGCCATGACTTTGCATACTATTCATCTTAGTGATACTGGTCTGTAGTTTAGTGCTGCATGTCTATCTTTTTAAAAATTGGGACCATATTTGCTGTCTTTCATACTTCAGGGAGCTGTCCTGTTTCGATAGATATGTTGAAGACTGTTGTTAGTGGCATGCAGAGTGCCTCTGCTGCCTCTCTCAGGAACCACAGAGAGATGTTATCCTACCCCATCGCCTTTGAGGTATCTAGTCCGCTCAGAAGCAGCCTCCTCACCTTTTCCTCAGTTGTGTGTATTGTGTTTAGCTCTTGGTAGTGTACCCCCCCCCCTCCATGCTTCAGGAGTCCTTTCTGTCTCTACTGTGAATACTTCTTTAAATCTTATGTTGAGCTCCTTACATACTTTGCGCGGTCATTTCTTGTGATCTTGCCTCCTTCTTTCCTCAGCCTGATTACCTGGTTCTTGACTGTTGTTTTCCTCCTGATGTGATTATACAACAGCTCTATGTCGGACTTGGCTTTCACTACTATGCCATTTTCGTATTGTCGTTGGGCCTCCCTCCTTACCTGTGCATATTCATTTCTACTCTCCTATTCTCCTGGGTCCTTGGCCTCCTATACTTCTTCCATTCTCTAGCGCATTTAGTTTTGGCCTCTCAACACCTCTGGGTGGACCAAGGGCTCGTTCTTTTGCCCTTGGGTACAAACCTCTCCTCTGCTGCCTTGCATATTGTTGTCACACATTCCATCATCTCATTGACTTATTTCCCTGCCAGTTCTGTCTGTGTGTGTGTGTACTTACCTAGTTGTATTCATCTTGTTGTGGTTGCAGGGGTCGAGTCACAGCTACTGGTCCTGCCTCTTCACTGGTCGCTATATTTGTTCTGCTGCATTAGCTTTGTCATAACCCTACTTAAAGCTATGTATGGATCCTGCCTCCACCACATTACTTCCCAGACTATTCCACTTCCTAACAACTCTGTGACTGAAGAAATACTTGTCACAAATGAGTCACATACCTGTGACTCATTTGAGTCTTCACTTTCAACTGTGACCCCTTGTGGCTGTGTCCCGTCCCTGGAACATCCTGTCTTTGTCGTTATCATATCTCCCTTATCTCTCCTGTTCTCCAGTGTTGTCAGGTCCCTTAATCTCTCCTCGTAGAACATGCCCCTTATCTCCTGGACTAGTCTTGTTGCAAACCTTTGCACTTTCTCTAGCTTCCTTACATGTTTGGTTAGGTGCTGCGTACTCCAATATAGGCCAAACATTGAGGGTCATGAACGATTCCTTACTGAGATGTCGGAATGTTCTGAGGTTTGCTAGGCGCCCATATGCTGCAGAAGATATTTGGTTGATGTGCGCTTCAGATGTGCCCGGCATTACACTCACCCCAAGATCCTTTTCGTTGAGTGAGGTTTGTAGTCTCTGGCCCCCTAGACTACTCCTTCTGCAGTCTTCTTTGCCCTTCCCCAATCTTAATGACTTTCCACTTGGTGGGGCTGAACTCCAGGAGCCAGTTTCTGGACCAGGCCTGTAGCCTTTCCAGATCCTTCTGAAATTCTGCCTGGTCCTCGTTCAGTTGAATTTTTCTCATCAACTTCACATCATCTGCAAACAGGGACATTTCTGAGTCTATGCCTTCTGTCATGTCCTTCACAAATACCATAAGCAGCACCGGTCCTAGGACTGACCCCTGCAGAACCCCACTCATCACAGGCGCCCACTCTGACACCTCGTACCATGACTCACTGCTGTCTTCCTGACAGGTATTCCCTGATCCATTGTTATCCCTGTTATCCCTGCCTGATCCTCCAGTTTTTGCACTAATCTC